GGTGGGGGGGGGTGGGGGGGGTGGTGGGGGTTCAAGGACTTTGCGGTAAAACGAACTTTCTGCATTGAAGATTTGCCACAGGACCTTAAAGTGTAGTTTGTCAAGCTTGGTGAGGTGTGACTGTAGGTACATTTGTGATTCGGAGCCATACAGTAGGATCGCTAGCACGATCTGGGAATGTACCAAAAGTTTACGGGGGACAGAGATGGGCGGATGCTAAAAAGTCACGGAGGCATTTTGCCGCGCGTGGCGGCTGCGCATAGCGCTTCTTGGCATCGGCTTTGGCCGAGGAGTTGTGAGTAAGGATGGATCTTAGGTAATCCGCGTGAGGCGTGGGCTCAATCTTGAGTTTTTTCGAAAGGTAAGGGTCTGGTCTAGCCTGACAAAAGTCGCACTGACATGGGTGTTGGGAGTGCTCAGACAGATATATGGGAGCATCAGAATTAATGGCCAGAAGCTGGCATTTTTGATGGTTCAGGGACATGCCTCTGCAAAGGGCATGTGCAGTGCGTGGAGGAAACGATGTAAGGACAACCGTGTGCGTGATAGCAAAACGGTGTCCTCTGCATGCTCAAGGTTAAAACCGAAGGTCTGGGACCGTACGTGAGGGTGTAGGCTTCGTAGGTATCATGGAAAAAACCGAAAGGGTGACAACAAACAGATATTGTGATAGTAGGAAACCTTGGCGGATGCCCTGAAGGAATTTTTGGATTCGGAGCAATGGCCGGAGTCCTTGACTACGAAGTGACAATCCTGATAAATGACGAGGATAGCGTCCGTAAGCTGTTGCGGGACCCCGATTCGGAGAAGGGCATTTTTCAATGCATCATGGGATACTGAGCCAAACGCCTGTGACCCATCCAGAAACGGAGCATAAAATGACTCCTGGTGACGTTCATGCAGCTCCAAGAGTCTGCGCAATACGTCGAGGTCGATTTGCCGGATCTGAAACCGAATTGGACCGATGAGATTCGGTCGTCAATGGCGTGCTTCAATCTATGGTGCAATAAACATGCGTAGATTTTGTAAACTGAGTTGATAAGGGATATGGGTCGGTAACTCGTGGGTAAGGCAGGGTCTTTCTTTTTGTCTTTAAAAATCATGACAATATCCGCTATTTTCCAGGAGCTCGGAGCGATAGTCTCCGAGAAGGCTTTGTTAAAGTGCGCCAGGAGTGTTTTGTGAACTTCTCTGGGAGCGTATGTCCAGATCTCCGCCGGGAGCTGGTCAGGTCCCGGGGCCTTGCGATTTTTAAAGCTAAGAAGTGGGATAAGGCTGTCATAAGTTCTTGCTCGGTAAACGGACTACTGTCAACATGCGCAGTGGGAAAAGGTGTCTGCGGGATGGGGGGTAGGTCGCGTTGATTCCAGGCCTTGGTTTCTAGATGGTTGGCCAAGACCTCTGGCTTAGCTGCTTTGGTGGACATTTGTCCGCTGGGTTTTCGAATGCCTTGCGTTATTGGAACATAGTCTTTACGGAGGTATTTAAGAGTGGACCACTGTTTAGACGGGGAATCCTGCAGTAGCTGGTTACAAACGTGCTGCTTCTTATCTTTACGGGCACTTTTTTGACTGCTTTACGTCGCTTCTGAAGTAGGTCGTGGTCGATATTCCTTTTTGTATTGTTGATCTTGTTTAGTACGAGGGGCAGACTTCATAGTCGCTTTATGTAACATGCTTGCTTGGTCCCCAAGGGAGGGTGACTCGAAATCGGGGGAAGTGTGTATCGTGATGGTTTCACTCAGGGGGGAACGAGGTGGGAAGGAATGCCGTCCTATGTTGGAGGCTTGGTGGATACCTCTGTTTGCTAAGTTGTCGGCGCGTTCATTGCCTTCGTGGCCCGTGAGACATTTGATTTTGAGGAGCGATATCTGCAGGTGTGGGAGACGGTGGTCGATGAAGGTACGAATTTGAGTCAGTAGGTAGAGATGCTGTTTTGGGATAGAAAGACCGTGCAAAAATCGTACGCAAGTTGGGAGTCCGTATATATACATTGACCTGAAGGATCTGGTGGAGTCGCTTGTGTCTGGAAATGTCGTCGAGGATCTCCAGAGGAGCCTGGAGTTCTGCTGTGTTGCTGGAGCCGGGCCCCACGCATCTATCCAGGATTATGAGTGGTGTATGGTGAATCCCCAGCTTGCTGGGTTGCCCACTCGCACTTGGTATTGGTTGGGGCACGCACCATCAGTAAAAGCCTTGATGGCGTCGGGGAGGGGCTCACGGCCCAGGATGCGTACTGGATGACCTGTGAGCAAAAGCTTTCTGGAAAGCAAGCTGGTCATCTTTAGTGCGCGGCGGAGTAATTTTAGCAGGTGGTTTCTTAGTCGGCCTCATGAAGCGATCAAAGTAATATGCAACGAGAGCGGAAAATGTTTGTGGAACCAGGGCAATGTCCAAGTTGGTTTGGTCAAGGCGGCACGGAAGTTGTGGAGAGCGGTGAGGGGGGCGAGCCCTCGGTCGAGGCATGCAAAACTGGAGTTGGTGGGCTGGGAACAAGTAGCCTCTGGTGAGGAGGCGATCTCCCTTAGGAACCAATCTTGGAAGGGGGACGTGTATGAAAGGTAAAGGCAATCAGAAAATCATTGTGGACTATAAACTCTTAGTTTGTTGTTGCGTGTCCTCGGTGGGGGTGTCGCTAAGAAAACTGTTTTGCCGTTATGGGTGGAGAACTCATCTAGATCCTAAGGGACGATTTCAGCGCTGAGGTCTCCCATGTATACGAACAAGGAAGGCTTGGGGAGGTTATCGTGGACGGTCTAAGTTCATCCTAACATTTGTCCTTGCACGCTTCGTCAGCCACTGGGTCCGTGAGCTGACTGGGCGCGTAGAGAGAAACCAAATGGGTGGGAAGCGGTTGTGTTCGCAGAGTGAGGACCGATATGCGGCCGGAGTGCGGGAGAAAATCGGCAATTAGGGGAAGACGGTGTGGTGGTATGAAAAACTCCACGCCCGCCATGTGTTCGCATGGTGTGCCTGAAAGCAACAATCTGCCGCCTTTGACCCAGCGTTCATCCGAGGAAGTAGATTTGGTCTCCTGTAACGCGAGCATATCAATGGAATGGTTGGTCGCGGAATCTGCCAGGCATTCTTGTTTTCCGTGGCCCATGATGGTTTCAAGATTGAACGTAACTATGTGAAGTTGATTGCCAATGCAATAGGCGTGGCGGCATGTCCAGCATGGACTGCTGCACGTAGGATCTAAAAAAGTGTGCTCTCGATCCTATTGTCGGCGCCATTGTCTTGCCGTAGGCTCTTTTGTATTTGCGCTGGGCTGTTCGTTACCCTTGTCGGAGGGAACCGGGAGTGCACTGGGGTGAATTTTCCACTCTCCAGCGAACCAAACTCTCATCCAGTGATGGCGTTGGCGTCGAGATTCAGAGCGCTGGGCTTGAAATCTAGATTGTAGGCTAAGCATAGCGCGCTTTGAGCGCAAACATTGGTGGGAGCGTGTTCCCTCCGACGCACAGCGAGATTCGTGGCCACCAGCCTCGCAAATGGATCGGCGGTTCGCGCCGTTATGTAGTCCAAGGAATTACGAAATTGTTGGGGCTGGCCGTGGCCCCCCGGCGTGCCGCTGGCGGCTCTCGCAGCACAGAAATGGTGATAGAAGTTACGGGCTTTGCTGCCATAGTAAACCGAGTAATATCTTTTGCCTCCTCTGTAATACCAGAGCGAAAGGTGTGTAGCGCAATAATGCGCTTTATGAGTTGCCATTCCGTTCTTAAGGCACACAGGAAGTGTACGAGAAAGGTTTCAGGAACATAGTCGAAAATGCGATCGATCAGAGAACAGCTGCAAATTGACGCTAAGGAACCTTGTGGAACAATGTGAGGCGAACTGAGCGCTAAAGAAGCTGAACTGTGAATGCGCAAAGCTGTGAAGTAAGTCAACGAAGCACTGGCGCAGTGTTTGCGCGTGTGCGGGCCGGCTTCGGCCCTCTCTCTGTGCGCCTAAGAACTTCGTAGTGCTTAGATTAACTTGAACTGAAGAGAACTATCATATCCTCATGATAATTTCCACTATTCTTGGCGCTTCCAAACCCTTCCGCCCAGCCAGAGCACAAACTTCTGCAACAACATCGAGAGGCAAGAAGAGAATGAAGCTCTCCAGCTGCGGGACGAACAGACCCACAGCTTGCGTCTTACTCCGGCGATTCTTAATCTCGGCATCTTTGGCAACGATTTCTGAAAGCTGGATCCTTACATTGGACCTACATGCTCCATCACGGCAACTTGCGACTCACCAGGTTCGCCTGGAATCTAATTCCTCTGCATTGCTGACAATCAGCCGCACGCACATGGCCGACTATCCCTGCGACAAAGGACACCTTCTGAGCTGCAGTTTGGCTTCTTAAGCTGCAGACAACAAATTCAATCCCTGTGGCGCTCACGAGCACCACGGGGCACGAGCATGCGAAGTCAAGGCACAAATTGAGCGAAGAAATAGTACACGCGGCTACACAGGGTTCACAGAAAAATGACTGCCCGCTTCCGAAGAACATGTGATGACAACACTTGGCCTGCTTCACAGACTTCATAGTGTTGGACTTCACCAGCATCCCTGCCACAACTAGAATCAACGGCTTGAACTTCACAAGCTTGCGTGAAGCTGAGAAGCCTGGCGGCCCTCCATCAGAAGCGTGAAGATCGTGAGAGTTCTTCAGCAGCTGCCGGGCAGTCTCTTCCTGGAGCTCCTGACAGGTTCTACATGTTCTGCTGTCAAGCGAAATTGCAAGCCTTACGGAAACCCCCCAAGAAAGAAATACACCAGAAGGGTTAGCCCGGTCCAGTCCTCCACCATTCCGTAGCGCAACTTCCGCGGACCGGACTCAAGGGAACGAATCTTGCCTCGATCTGACCGGTAAAACTTACATTGCCATGCTGGCAAGCCTGCGGTGAACTGGCATGCGGACTCTGCGAATGACAGTCTTGGGCTGCCAGAGTCTGGAAGCTGCGACTAGATGAACGATTTGTCCAAGGTCAAGCTACCGCAGCTACCAAAAAAACAGACTCACAGCACGGTTTCAATGAAGCAAACAGACCGACGTCTTCAAAGCTTGTCTGCGGCTGCGTCACGCACCCCGTCCGATTTGCGTGCCTGTGCCAATGACTTGTACAAACGCTCCAAACGCACGGGCCTGCATAGGCATCGCAACGTTTGTTGGGCTCTTTAGGGGCTAGTGAAGTGAACCTTGCAGGGCAGGATGTAAGCAGTCATTATAAAATTGTATAGTGCGGCGCAGCATTCCTGACACTTAGAGTGCGCATTAAATGACACGTCTCGTACAGCTCCGACCCTAGGGTCAGACTCTAAGATTCTGCACGCTGAAAATTGGCAGAACTCCAGCCAGTTTGCTTGCTGGGCCATGCCGTACACTTCAATGGCCTGCATCTGCTCGCTGTCACGGCTCTGCCGACTTTCCAAGGACTTCCTTGCCGACTGGCAATGGAAAACAGAAGAGTGCTAGTATTTTAGCTATCGCTTGTCTGCTGTCACCCTTTTTCCTCCGAAACACACCGCGTGATCACCACATTGCCTCCTGTGAGACTGCCTTGCAGCTTCAGCCCGAGAGTCCTGCCCTCACGCTCACGAACTGTTCTGCACAACAAGATGGTAAATCTGAAATGTGCTCGAGTCACTTCTGACTGTTCCTCCTCTTGACAGGAGCTATCTCGTTGTCCTGTGGCTCATGTCGTGAAGATGTTGACCACCGTTTTAGGGCGAGGCTCACCGTTGTCAACATGATGCGGAGGAGGCTCCTAGGGTCCTAGGGGCCATAAAACCGGAGTTGCGACCCAATGCGATCCCACCTTTTCCAGTGGCGTGGCAGAGGTAATGTGCTGGTGAACCAGGCTCGAATCATCTGGACCTGAGACGACATAGCATGAACCAATCTGCTAACATTTGCTAACACTTCCAGGTGCGGTCAAGGGGGTGCCCGATCACTTCTGTCTT